ATCTGATCTAGACTCGATATCTGCTCCGCTCTCAAGCAGTACCTCGACCATTGCTACATTCCCATTCTGGGCTGCTAATGACAGCGCTGTCTGACCACCATATGTTTTAGATTCGATATAGGCTCCGTTATTAAGCAGCAGCTTGGCTACTGCCTTACATCTCATGCTGGTAGCAAACAGCAGCGGTGTCATGTTACTGCTACCAGATTTGGAGTTAGGATCAGCACCCATATCAAGAAGCAGTTTGACCACTGCTTCGTGTCCCATAGAAGCCGCTATTGACAGCGCTGACGGAGTATTACAAGATGCAAACTCTATGTCAGCACCTCTTTCAAGCAGTAATTGAACTGCCGCCTCATTTCCGATCTGGGCAGCGTATGACAAGACTGTCATAGACTTATCATAAGAAAAATCAGAAAAACGGAGCAATGGTTGAGAGTCAATCTCCCTCTGAAGGAGCAATTTGACCACGCCTTCATGTCCGTTCTTGGCAGCTAATGTCAAAGATGCCAATCCGATTTCGGGTTTGAAATCGCTCGCACATTTATTTGTCTCATGAAGCAGCTGTATGACCGCTTCAGATCCTCGTCTTGCTGCATGCGACAGTAACGTTTCTTCTTCAATATATCCTTCGAGTACTGCCACTTGCTGAAGCCATACCTGCGCAGAGCCGACAGGGTAACCTATTTCCACGACTTCCAGAATATGCCTTTCGCCATGCAGCATGAAAGTTCGCTTATCAATTGCTGCATATATGTACTGCCCATTGTCGAGGACACTCGCAATTTGGTCTCGCTCGTATTGCTGCTGTTCTAGATCCTGAGACGGTGTATGATGCACTTGGAGACTATTGTGGATGTCCACGAAAAGGAGTCCTCCAGACCTCTTCAGAACTATCTGAAACGAATTTCTCTCTTTGTCTAACACCACCAGTCGACCAATTATGCCATCGGTGGGAAGTTCCGTGGTCGTAATGATCAGCTCGTCATGAAACCCCCAGCCGGAGCACTGATAGACTGTACAGGAGGCTATGTCCTCTTTCTCTACGCCTTTGAACCTGACTGCGCATTTCCCCACGTTTCCCTGCTTCCTGTGACGCACCGAACGCCATGGTCTGACATATAAGGATTTCATAGGGTAATACTTGAGAAAATTTTCTGCTAGGTCTAGCACTTCCAGTTCCGAGCTTCGCTCTCTCGTAAAGTTTTGATTTGTTAAGAGAACATCCTTCAGACGGATCGCGAGCCGTTTATTCTTCTCCTTTATCCGAGTGCATTCGAGAATAGCAAGCCCCGAGCCCCCCTGCTCATCGCTTTTATAGCGGAGTGATAAATTGATTCCTCTGCTGCTAAGTGTGATAGGATCTCCTATATCACCGGAAGGCTTTGTTGGGATGACGTTGCCGGAGCCAGCAAACGCAGCTGGCGAACTTGCAAGAATCCCACCGTGATGATCTGTTGATGTCCAAGCAAAGAGACTGTGGTCATTCGTAGTTCGTATAATCTCTTCTTGAAGTCTGATAAATGCCTTTGTTCCTTCACCGTACAGCATCGGCATGGATATTCCAAAGATTCCCATTAAGCAATAGGCGACATCCTCAAGTCTTGTTGTCTTTCTCTTTGCAGCCCATGACATTTTTTGAGCGACACTAGCATATGCTACGTCGTCTACCAATAAGAAATTACCAGGTATTCCGGTTATTTCAGATATTTGCTGCTGCAGATCTAATTTTTCACCCATCTTGTGCCATTCACTATCGAAGAAGATGACTGTCGATGGAGCGATAAGCTCCTGAAGAGTCCAGCCTCTAGTGAACCATTTGCTGTTCCTGAAATCGTCGTCACAGACGGGCCCGTGGGGGACATCGGATAGATATGCGTAGCAAACTTCTGCTTCCTCATACCAACGGTACATTGAGTTTATAGCCTCTGAAAGTTCCGCACTGCTTGTCTTATCAATGCAGCAAGTGTCAATCCAGATGTAATCAAAGCGGTTCTCCCGAGCAATGGAGCAAACTCCCAAGATCTTTTCATATCCCTTCAATTTGTGGGTCGCTTGCGACGTGATATCCTGCAACGTAACTTCCTCCTTCCCCCACGTATGTGAGAGAATTGCATATTGTGGGAACTCTCCGCCTCCATACTCTTCCACCTCAAGCGTGCGTGTATTAAGTAACCGCATGATTAGTTGGCAGAGGCTCCAGGAATCCGTTCGTATCACTCCCTACTTCTCTAGAGGTCCTCTCGGATGAAGTACGTAAGATGATAATGTCAGTACATCACGAAAACAACAACAAAGAAAAAAAAGAAAGGGGAAAAAACGTAAAGTGCTGGAATCACTTCACTTGATGAAGATGTGGCTCGGGGAGAGAAACGAGAGCGCGGGGACAAAGCATCCAGCTGACACACACTACAACACACGAGGTTGACGTGTCAGAGGTGATATCGGCAGCCTATAATACACGCTTCACTAACAACACCATCACCCACATTCAGTGATACTAAAGTAGAAATTGAGCTTGCTGATCTTCTGGAGGTGCCGTGGGCTCTTGTATACCACCTATTTAGTCCTTCTAGTTTCAAGAAAGAGATTGAGGCCACCCTCAAGTCGAAATACGCAAGATGACTAAATGGCTACGACTCAGCCGCGCTGCATGTATGTAATGAATGCCCCGCAGTGCATATTCGTGGACGAAAGTCGCGATATCCCGATATACATCTGCTATTGTATCCCATCTACTGGAGTTTAGCACGCACTGATCCACAACGGGAAAGACACTCATCCAGTTCTGTGCGTGAAACTGCCAAACCATGCCAACCGTCAAAGCTTTGGACAGCTCTAAGCTGTAAACGATGGGATGGATTGCAGCTTTACTCATGAAGCGCGCCACACCAACTGCGATGCTGGATGAGCGCTATCGTACGCCGTGCGGCTTCGTCCAGTATCAAGCCAAAAGAAAATCCCATATATCGGGGTTAAGATGAGAGAGCACAACGTTGTGATTGCCTCACTTCCCGCAGGTTTATATGGGGCACCTTCCGCTGCAATTACGACGTCGAATCTGCTTTTATCCCTGTCTTAGATAAGAACTGGTCTGCTGGTGGGAATTGGTGGCAGTATTACCCGACCTGAACAAGGCCATGATATCCGGCTAGGTAATGTCGTTGTCGGCCAACCGCAGGGTACGACTGGAGGAGTGAATCAGTATATTTTAAGGAAGGCGAAGTCCAATGAAAAATGGGAATAGAAAGACTTTATCAGCAAGCCCCAATAGATCCTCCTTCAAACACTAGCAAGACTGCAAGCGGAGCAATAACTGGAGGATTCTAGAATAATTGAGTTACTGGGTGACATACCTATCACTGTTGACTATGTGTAGAGGTTCAGATGAGCTGCATGCTAACTTGATATTCCACAAAATATCTGGACCTTCGAATGCTTCGGGAGTCACTTAGACGTCTACCTAAGATGTCACAGGAAACCTACACTTGAATATTACCAAGTATTAACAAGGATTGTCGATTCAATGCTATATGAAATTTACAGTTTCTGGCTTACTCCGAACGACATCTAACAAACTAAGGAGCTGTTGATATTGTAGTAATTAATTTCAGTAAATATCCCATGTTTGATGCCCAGCTGAGGATTTCAAAACCTCTAGAGATTATAAAAGTCTAGTCCAGTCTAGTATCCCTTTAAACAGGACAGGCTAACTATAACCCGGGAAAGCATTGATAGAGCTTAAGTTAGCCTATCTTTCTGTTCAGTGATTTCTCACGTTAGGGTAAATTGAAGCAGTTTCCGACGGAAAATAACAGAGGTTAATATAGTATTCTAAAGGGTCCCAACCAAGTCAATGTATGCCACCACACCCGCTGAGACTGAAAAAGATGTCCAGGAAGGCATCCTTTGTTTCTTCCTCCTCGACAGCCAAGCGTACGCGATATCTTTCTATGGTTACAAGGAAGTTGTGCAATTGCTGTTAGGGAAATGTATAAATATGAGTACAATGGATCCATCAACTTTTGTCAAACAAAGTTCAATTATATCAAGGCCAGCTAAGCATGTACGTATACAGAATCAGTATCCACAAAAAGTATATTGGTTAAATCGAGAGCATTCATCGGTCAGGAAGAAACTATAAATATGTCACATGATCCAGCATGACAGCGGAACGGAATAACAATGCGCCCCCAGCCTGGATAGAACCATACGCCAGTAATACGACGCTAAGAGCATGAGATCAGTTATCAGTGCCCCCGTCGTCGTCATACCAAAATTCCCTCTTTGGACCGAAATCCACGAGCCATCCTCTGCGCCTTTCGTTCACCGGCCTCCGAACGAGCCGTCGCTACCTGTATAAAACCACCCCGAAACCTCCAACACCCAGACCTTCCTCCGGTCAAGGAAAGAAACCCGAGCACCCACCCCTCGTCGTCTGGCGGCTAAAGCTTCCCCGCGGTCTCCCTCCCCACCTTTTTCAACATCTCGTTTTGCAGGAGGTCGTATCCCCGTCACAATGCAAGCCGTCCCGGAATCGCGACAACAGACCTTCGAGGAAATCTACGGTCCTCCGGAGAATTTCCTCGAGATTGAGGTATGTGCTTTTTCTCCTTTTCACTATCGCTAGTAAAATCCGGAAGAAAACACAGAGTCGTATCAAATGAAATTCAATTCGGCCCTGTCGCGCGACATACAAGCCCCCCACCCCAAGATGCTATACATAGGTCCCATGGCAATATCCTCAAACCAATTAACCATATCTCCCTAGGTCCGAAACCCCCAAACCCACGGCACATCCCGGAACATGTACACCTCGTACGAAATCGTCTGTCGCACCAATATCCCCGCATTCAAGCTCAAGCACTCCGTCGTGCGCCGCCGCTACTCCGATTTCGAATACTTCCGCGATATCCTGGAGCGCGAGAGCACAAGGGTGACGATTCCGCCGCTGCCCGGGAAGGTGTTTACGAATCGGTTCAGTGACGATGTCATCGAGCACCGCAGGGAGGGACTGCAGCGGTTCTTGCAGATAGTTGCCGGCCATCCGCTTTTGCAGACGGGGAGTAAGGTTTTGGCGAGCTTCATACAGGGTTTGTCTTTTCTATTCCTTTTTTTGTTCTTCGTTTCGTTTTGTTTCTACAGGCCTTGATTGTAATGTGGATTGCTGACTGGTGTGGTGTAGATCCGAACTGGGACCGCAATGCTTGGTAGAGTTGGGTTGTGCGGTGGATCGTCATTGAAATGAGGGTCTTGCTTCGGCTGTTCGGTTTTCATCCTCCTTTTCACCTTTTCTTCTTCAATTACATGCGGGTGTGTTAATCCATGGCCTGTGGCTTGTGGTTATACTCGTCTTGTGATTTTGCCTTCCTTCTCTCCTTCCCCTCCTTGTCTTTGGTGCATCTCTTGCAGTTACCTTGTCTGTCTGTCTTGGCGGAATTTCCACGCAAAATAGCGTTCATGTTGATGCTTGATTCTTCTTGTTTTGTAAAGGCGAACATGGCATTTAATATCTATTTCAGTTCCCACTTTGGATTTTGTAGGTTATGACCGTTTAGACAAAGATCATTACCGGTGGCTTGATGGGTTATTTTTTCGGTTGGGTACGTGGTATCAAATGTATGTGAGCAGTCAAACGCATATACCTGAAATAAGAAACGGGACCAGGAGTTGAGGATCAAAAAGGTGGGTTCGTTTTTATTTATCTCGCTTGTGCTTGTACTATTACCACAGGTAGTAAACATTACTGAGCCACATACGGCATAGCATGTAAGAAACCTGTCGCCGGAAGTGGGTTTTGTAGACAGTAGGCATCATGGCGAAGTAAATATCCGAAAGAATTTACATGAAAGACATTAAGAAAACCCTGGGATGCGCCGCCCCATAGCTGAGATCAAGTTAGCAAAAGGGAGTGTTTGAGAGAGCTTCAAGTTTCTTTGCAGTCATGACAATTCATCCCAAACCATTGGGGCAAGAGTATTATCGGCCCAAGATGGGTCCACGCCTGATGGATTAGCAGTATTTTCATCCAACGGGAAGGAAAACACGGCTGTCGAAGGGGCACCTGCCACGCTTTCGAGAGGAAGTCCCGGGGGTGGAGCTGGAGGAGAGAGTGCAGGATCAATGGGTCCTAATGCGGACTGCTCAGAGTTATCTGACTTGCCATTTTGACTGCTGGGGAGTTGTTTGGTAGGTTGCAAGTTCCGCTTGCTACTGGATGCCCGGTCTTTTCCATCTTTAAGACCTGACTCCTCGGATTGATTGAACGAATTACCGCTGACAGACCCGCCGTCACGGTACGCGTGCGGAAATTTGGTCCTAAACCGGTCCCGCAGATCGGTTGCTCTACGATGACCGAGGTTCAGCCGCTTGTCCTGTTGAATTAGTGTCCACTGAAAACCGTGTACCGCATAGCCTTTCAGAAGAGCTTCGTCTTCAGCGACAGTGAATGGACGCCGGGACCGACGGCGAGACTTGATGGTGAAATGTGGCTCCGGGATGCCGAGAGATGCTAAGGTAGACTTGGATTTGCTAGAAAGAGTAGGCCCGGTTTTCGCCGACGCTGGTTTAGCCTGAGAAGTCAAGTTTTTGAGCTCGGACTCCTCGGTCGGGGTACCGCTAGAAGACAAGGACTCCTGAGAACTACCGGCTGAGATCCCTCCAGGCGGCGTCTCTGAGACAGGCCATGGGTGTGGAAGGCGAATCTTCCCCGGGGCGCCATCAGCACCCTCTGTTTCCGCCCGTGAGAGTGCATCGGCCAGGGTGTCACGAAGTTTCTTCGTAGCCTCATTGGGGTCGGCGGCACTTCGAAGGATTAGAAGGCAGAGCCAGGGAATACAATCACAATAATAACCTACCGATAAGCCCAAGGACAGCAGACACGAAATCTAGTCTCCTGTCAGTCCATACTTTCGCAACAGGGTCACCACCGGCGCCGTACCTATCCTTCAGGTTTGAAGCACTCCGTTTGTTGAACTTCAGCTCTGGTTGTGCCAAGATCGCGGTCCAGTTACCAATCCCACATTTAACCACGCCGCGCAACAGAGCAGTTGTTTCCTCCTCGGTCCATTTACGAAGATTCTTGCGGGAGCGCCCTCTTGTCTTCGGGGACAGTGGCTCCTTCTCTTCTGCACAGGGTTGGGCTTCTTTGTCAGTTTGCAAGTCACCTTTCTCGTGTCCTATCGGATCAACGCTCGCATCATCGAAAAGGCCACCTTCTATAGTAGTCTGCTCGCCATCCACGGTGTTCTCCCCCACAGGGGAATCCAAAATCTCATGGATCCTGCCTTCCCTCCTCTCCACACTTTGACTCTCAACAATTGTATTGGCAGTCAATAGTACGGGTTCCACAAAGGAAGTGCCTCGCGAGGGTTTTGTCAGCAGCTGCGTGATGGAACCGGGTTCGATCGGAGGGAGAAGAGCGGCATTGGGCGGAGGTTCGTTCAGACCATTAAGAATAGCAAAAGGCCCGAATGGTGGCGGTCGCGGTTCCTTGTGCGCCTGCGGAATGGGCAGCTGCAGATGTTCTCCAAAGGAATCCGCCTGGACCTCCAACCGTCGACGCTTTCGGGCATGCGAGTCATCGTCAAAGGAGGAATAAGGGAATCGTTCCAGGGCGCGGAGGTTGACAAATTCCGGGAGAATAGGCTTGGGAGGGGGCTGTAAGCTTGAGACCGCATCTACGGTATGGTCAATTTTTTTTGCGCGCGCCGCATTGACGCTCTCCGTGAGTCCACTGGAGTCGTTGCGGCCAGGCAGGACTCCAGTTGAATTGTTGGTCTTAGGGATGGAGTTTGGCTCTCGAACTCCACTCGCATTCGGTTCAAGCGGTGAGGGGATGCTTAGGATGCGGGAGGAGACTGGTTGGCGGAGAGGTGCAATGCGGAGGCTTTGCAGTTGGGGTAATTCGCGGGTGAGGGATTCATCGAAAGACCGGGCAAAGGTGCCGTTGGAGTCCATTGTTCGCACTCACACCATCGGGAGTTAGTAGTTCAGAGATCATTCAGTATTGGTCGGCCCTATAGAGATGCTAGAGTTTATCACACGGGCCATTTTGCCTCAGTCCCTTGATACATGGAGTTGGAGTTGATAATAAATAGGAGAAAGGGGGAAACAAAAAAGATTATAGTGATGGCGATAACGTGTATAAATTGAGATGGAACTTATCGCCCCGTATTCCGAACCAGAGAACCAGTTCTGGGATGGCACGTGCACGGCTGACTGAGCATTGGCCCCCACGCCCGATGGAGCCAGGATTGCCTAAACAGGAAGTTTAATTTGCCAGCGTTCGGCAATCGTTGCGGAACGGAACAACTCATGTCAATCCCTGTGAATACTTCCATATCTCCTCTCGGAAATTGTGCAGCTCCAGTTTAGTCTGGGGACTAGTTTGCTTAAGCTTTCCCATACCATTGGGTCCATGTTCATATAATATATTGGCCCCCAGCTGTGCCAGCGCACACCTTTTCTTTGTTCTTTCTCCATATAAAGACCCTCACCATATCACCTTTCCTCATAACAAGCAACTGATCCTGTCTCAATACGCCGAGCCCACGTATTATCATTTAAGCCGGGAACACTGATAGAAATAACCAATATACATTCACTTCTATATACATTAGAAAGACAAACCACATCCATACCGTCACCATGGGCGTCGACGTTCCGTCCTGGCCACACTTTCTTTTCAGGGTCTTTGAGCCTTTATCCTGGTACGAACAGCAACAGAGAAGCATTCAACAGCTATCCGATTTGAAAATAAAGACCTCTAAATAACCACATTCACAGCTTCGGCGGCTACATCTTCCCCCTCCTAGACTTAAACAAGTTCATCGTGGACTCAACACCAAACGTCCCAGCGCCAGAGACCATCCATCCAAGCAGTGTCGTTCTAGCCGGCCAACTAGGAAACATCTACGCAGTCCTCGGCCTTCTAAGCTTCCTCATCCACCACAACACCAACGACCCGAAAGTCTTCCGCAACTACATCCTCGCCTACGTCTTCAGCGACATCAACCATCTCTACGCGACCTACCGCGGCGTGGGCTGGGACACCTTCGTCGACCCCTGGGCGTGGCAGAACCTCCTCACCTGGGGCAACATTGGCATGACGGTATTCATGCTCGTGAACCGCATCCTGTTCCTCCTCGGTGTCTTCGGAAATGCCAAGCGTCTAAGACCCATCAGAAGAAGAACTGAGCCGGCGCACAGCCGAGAAGGACGACGCAATCCAGCCGTGTGGGTGAGGAATCGTTGGTGTGCGGAGATCAACGCTGCGCTTCTGCTCGGCTTAGTTATTCTCTCGTGTGTTGGGTGGGGGCTGGGCCTTTCTTGGGTGATTTATATGTTGGTTAAGGAGGTGCTGACTTGGTTATTGCTGATGTTTGGGATAGACCATGTGATTGTGAGCTATGTGGTTGTCAATACGGCGAGGTGCGTGTCTGTTGTTGCGTTGTATCTGTTGAGTAGGCGCGGTGGGTGAGTTCAGATGATTATCAGGTGTCATCGATGGGAGACTTTTGTCCGTTGCGAATCTCGGCACTGGCTGCTGGAAGAATATCTACGAGGAAAGTTTATCTGGGCTTATTACATATTCTCTGCCATGGACACATTTCTCTAATTAACGACTATTTAACGTGTGCATGAAATACATAGTCAGAGCAAAAGACACGCTTCACAAACTAACAGATAACTCGCTGAGCAAGGACATGATTGCAGGATGAACCCAATATGCAGAACGAACCCTTACTCTCACCATAAAATTGAAATCCAGCGCCAATTTAATTACAAATCCCGTAAATTCCAACATGCTTAATGCAAAATCGTGACATGTACGATTCATATCCTCGAGCTTCTCGATTAATGGAAGAAATAGATGCTGTGTGTCCGGCACAGTCTGGTTCAATTAGCGCATAGCGTTGCGCATTCTCTGGAACATCTGCAGCAAGGCCGGCTGCCCTTGCTGTTGGTACTCTCTGATATGTGGGATGAGACAGGGGATGCCGGGCGAGGACTGGAACTGTTGTCGATAGGCAGCGTAGTTCTGATACGGCACGATCAGAAGGAGCAAGTCAGGAGGAACGATCGGGTTCAGGGCCATTGCCTCGGCGGCACCGTTGCTGCTGAAGACGGAATCGGTGATGCTATACTTCTGCAGGCCGTTGATAATGGCGGAAAACGAATGGTAGTTCCGAATGACAAGGAGGGCCTGGAATAGCTCAGTTAGTGGTGAATGATACGGTTGGGGGGCGGAAGCTAAGTTCCACTTCGTACCTGTAAACAGTCTTGAATATACGGGATCATGTCCGGCAGCGCGGTGCAGCATTCCCAAACCTCGATGCTGAGCGACTCCCACTTGCTCAGCAGTCGCGTCACCGCCGGATCCTCCGCCATGACTTGCTGCGGCGTTAGGGCGGAGAAGCTGCGCTCGTCGGCGTTCGTTAATGTGCGAGCGAAATCGGCAGCGGATGTCGATCCGGTCAAGTCTTCGTAGAGGGAGAAGTCGGTATCAAAGGGTTTGATCCAGTTCATCGTCCGGGCGTGCACATATTGCCTCTCAAAGCGGACTCGCAAGACAGACAGTACTTTCAAAATCGACGTCAGACTGGGCGGGAGGTCTTTGAACAAACCTTGAATCGGATCCGCTATGAATTCGAAGCCAGGTGTGGCACTCGGTATCTCATAGTTTCCTCCCGATTGCAGAGCGAGCAAGCAATGAAGCAAGGCGCGGTGGGCAAATGGGCTTCGGTTTCGAAGATGCTTCACAGTCACGTTAGCTATCTGGTGCGAAGGTCAGGCACAAGGGAGCTGGGGTGTTTACTTGTTCAACTTTGGCGTACCTCACTATCTCCTCGGGGAAGGTATTGAAATAATTCAACAGATGGATGTACAGTGCGGTGTGTTGCCGTAAAAACCATTCGACCGCGATCGTCGGGTAACCCAAGGAGTAGCGGACCAGCTCTTCGAAGGGAATACGAGTGAAATGCAGGTGGCTTTCCGCATCAATCGCATCCGCAATCGCAGCGGGATCCAAGTCCCGCTTCACTTGAGGCGGGAACCAACTCCAAGCAACGAGTGATGGGGTATTGGTTTTGCACCGGCGAATGATCTCTTCGACCTTCTGGATAAATGAGAGATTGGCGATATACGCCCTCTCCTTCGGTTGAACTAGTGTAAGCAGGAAACTGTCCACGGCTGATGCATTTCGACTCTGCAGGGAGGAACGAGGCAGGTTCTCGTCTCGATACAGACCATACTGGATCACTCGTTTGATATCCTCAACGTCAAAAGCCCACAGCACGGTGGTGGCTTCATCCTCCCACCATCGGTATGTCACAAAGAACGGAGGTATCTCCGCACTGGACTGAAACAGAGATGGGTAGCTTGACTGTACCGACATTGACGCTGCATTCATCGACTCATCCATCGCACGAATGCGTGGAGCCCCAGCCATGCAACCAGTCTCCGGCAACGAGAAGAAAGTCTCGGGCGTTGACTGTAAGCCTACCACTGTATCCTGATTCGGGGTAGATATCTCAGCAAAACGACAAACGACAGTTTCCACAGTGGACCAACTATTGGGCAGCTAGTGTCCCTGCCTTCTTATCCGTGCTTTAATTGCTTTAGTTGGGCCGTCACGGCGTACAAACAGCTAAGCGACTTCCGAAACGAGGTGCCTGTTTCCGCCACCCAACTGAGACCTAGAGGATTGAGCGGATCCTGAAGGTGTAGGTACAAGTATATGCTGAGCCAGCTGGGGCACAACCTGGCGTGAGATGGAAGAGAAAGACAACAAAACTATAATGTAAATATGATGATCGTAGAAAAGGAACCACGTCCAGAAGCGGGCCAAGCCTCAAGAGGTGACTGAATCCTCTTAGGTAGATACCGAGGGGATATCTGGAACAGATAGACAGTAGTGGGAAATGAGGGTCCGGGCACTTGGCCTTTTATTGCACCCGTACGGAGCATGCGCCTGCATTTCTTTCCTGGTCCTTTTTTCTATTTTTTATTTTTTTTATTATTTTTCTTTGCCTGGACTAAAATGTCTTATCTTCCCAAACAACCCCCAGGCAGCAGATTCTGCAGTCTTGCCACGTTCAACTCACGAGGGAACTAGAAGCACCGAAAGCTTGCAGTGGCTTTTACATCTGAACATGACGGGAAGTGGCGCATCAGAAAATCAAAAGAAACGACGAAGGGGGCTGATCTGTTCCAAACCGCTGGGTCTCCCGGAATCCAGGTTCGGCACAGAAACGGGGATTGGCCATCGAGGGCTAACAAAAATTAAAGAAGCCTGAAAGGAAGGAAAGTCTGGAGCTGCGAAGTGGGCCGGGTCGATCAATCAATCGTCATAGTCAACAGACAGTATATGGAAAGCGTTCAACGATTACAACATAGCCCCTGAGACGCCGTTAAACAAGATGGCCTAAAAGGACTCTGGCAAGATTCTAGCCACATGAAGGTAAAAAATAAAACAATACAAAAATCACAGGGAAAAAAATATTTTATTA